TATTCTATTCTATTCTATTCTATTCTATTCTATTCTATTCTATTCTAACTCTTTGCTGCCACCAACAGGACACCCGGAGGAGTGAAGCTTAGGTCATCTAGCCAGGGAGTTGGGTCAAACCTTGTTGAGTTGGGGATTCCTGGTGATGTCATAGCCCCGTTTCTTAATCCCGGTGGCTTTGGTGGCTGAAGGAGGACACTCTCTGGAAGAGCAGGACCTGTTGGGGGGCAAAATGCCAACTTGGAGCCCGGGCGTGACCCCCAGCAGTCGAAAGAGGCTGCCCCCTCCTCTGCTTCTCAAGGACTTCAGCATCATGGATGGGAATCCTGCCTGGAGGAGATGCGGCACCTGCCCGGGTTTGGGGGGAGAAAAGAGAAGAGAGGTAAGCCAACCCCAGAGAGAGAGAGGTGGGATTGGCACGGGAGGGGAAAGGGCAGGAGGCTCAAAGGAAGGAGGGAAGAGAGTCATCTGCAAAACAACCCACGGCATCCGGCCCCTAAAAGCCCAGTCAAAGCAAAAGAAGAGCTGGATCTTACTTCCGTTCCTAAAGCGCTTTTCCTTGAGCCGGGATCGTCAAGGGAAAAAAAAAAAAAAAAAGCAAGCTGGGAGGGAAGGCGATTTTAGGAAAGCGAAAGGAAACCCCAGGAAGCAGATCGGTGGCCGCCGATCTTGGCAACCCGAAGACTGGCATTGGCAGCCGGAGGGCGCCTCCTCCTCCTCCTCCCTCCGCCGCCCACAATCCCCGCCTTCTTCTTCCACCCCCCCCCCCCCCCCCCCCGTCGCTCTTCGGGAACCGGCGATCGGGTCAGAAGGACGGTGGGATCTACCTCGGCGCTGCGGGAGGGAGAGAAGAACCCGTGCTTGGAAACATTTGTGGGGGCGGGGGCGGGGGAGGGAGGGAGAAGGAGATCTAGTTTCCCCCGGGTGGCAGCAACATCTGCAGGGGCGCTGCTGACGGCTCCCCTTAATGGACCACGTAGGGTCAGCCAGATCTTGCCTTGGAAGGAGATGGAGGAGTCTGAGGGTCCACGGCCTGTGGTTTTTGGACAGCAGCCCCCCCCCCCTTTGGCCTGGGCGGGGGGGGGGGGGCGGGGGGGGGGTAAGATGAAGGGCTGCTTGCCCGGATCTGGAACGTGGCTGGTTTTGTTCTTCATCCTGCAAGGGCGGTCAGAGGGTTGCAGAGCCTCTTCTCAGAAAATGGGGAGGGGTTTTTATTTTTTTCAGGACAGGTTGGGGGGGTCCTAAAGGCAACTTGAGGACGCTGCTGCCCGTTTAACCTGGGGGGCCCCCATTTGTGCTAGAGGGAGAAATGAAGGGAAGTGGCAGCAGATTGATTGACTGGCTGACTGACTGACTGACTGATGGATTGGAAGTAGGCCAGAAGTATCATGAAGAGCATGCTCGAATATTTATTTGTTCATTGGAAGTAGGCCAAGATAGCAAGAGAAATAGCATGCTTATTTATTAGGAGGCCAGAAGTAGCACAATTATCTACCCATCTCTCTATCTGCCTGCCTAACCCTAACCCCTGCCTACCTGCTTTTATCTATCCATCCATCCATTTTTCCGTATCTCTCCATCTCTCCATATCTATCTATCCATCCATCTATCCATCTCTCCATATCTGTCAGCCTTCAAGATCTTCCTCCTTTCCTTTGCTTCTTTCTGGCTGCCATGAGTAACGGGAAGGGGGAGATGTATGGGACGTGAGCTGAAAGTGTTACTAACTGATATTGTATAAACTGGGGAGGGTTTCTAATTGCTGCTTAGCTTTCTCTTCTCTGCACAACTGCAAACCTTTATCTGAGTAAGCCAAGGTCAACTAATCATCACCACCTGGAGACGTCCACATGTTGAAGTTCACAACTTTTAATTGGAAGAACCGTTTGAACTATTGGGGGTGGGAACATTTCACTCCCTTGATATATGTGATGTACGTGCCTATTTCCCCAGAGTCAGAATTTTCTTGTTGCTACCACTTAACTTCCAGTAAAATATATATTTTCTCTAATTACAAGAGTCTAAGTATCTTCCTTGGATTTTGAACGGAGCGCCAGCTGACAATATCTATCTATTCATCTCTCCATCTCCATATTCATCCATCCATCCATCTCTCCATCTATCTATCTATCTATCTATCTATCTATCTATCTAT